ACACTTAAACTCAGTTGCTATTGACTTGGAATCAACCCATAACTGATCCTCCGACAGGTTTTCAGAGGCTATAAATTTCATGGAGGTTAGATTGTCCGTCTTTATCCTGCAGAGCAGCTTCTGGATCTGCCTTTGGGTTGGCAGCACAACTCCTTATCCATTAGACCACCATGTGGTTGGGTTCATAGAGACCCTATGAACAATAGACTTGAATCCTGTCCTGTGCCACCCTCGTTAGATCTGATATACTTGAGCCAATACTGGAGTCACTGTGTCAATTCATCTCATTTCAGTCTTCCTCTCTTTTGCTGAAGCTTTACCTTTCCAAGTGTGGTATCTCTTTCCAAGGAATAGCCTCTCCTAGCAACATGGCCAACATATGAGACATGAAGCTTGACCAGTCTTGCCTCCAAGGAGCACCTTGGCTGCACTTTTCCCAAGATTGAGCCTACCATGGTCTCTCCTAAATTCTGCCTTTTCTTTCGTGGTTTATTTTTGTTGTTATTTTTTAAATCCCTGCAATGTAGCATCATTCCAACTACGTTGGTTCCTTATTTCCATCCACTTAGCTTTCCTGCCCCTTCTTGTCTTTTGAACTTTAGAAGGGTGGTCAAACACTACCTTTCTGGTCTCATAAATTTAGTTGTTCTGACAGACATATTCTTGATGGATATTATTGTTCACTTTATAATTTTTTTTGGCTGAAAGTTGAACCCTCCAGGGGTAGGTTGAGTTCCATATTTGAAATGTGTCCAAGGTCCACAGACTTGGAAGTTTCACCAGTCTATCAGCTCAGTAAGTCTGTTTTTCTTTTTATAATTTTTTTTATTCTGCATTCCTCCCCACACCTCCACCATATCTCTTCAGGATCTTGTATTACAATCCTTATCTGTGTGGTTGGTCATCGCAGTGGGGCTCTATCTAGCTAGGACTTCTTTCTCAGGCTGTTAGAGGCTGTGGTTCACATGAGCCATTAGTCCTTTGAACGAATTATTTTCATGAATCTTTGATTTCATCATTGCTCCAGACTAGAAGGGACCACTACTAGTTGTATCTTAGAAAGCCATGAGCAAGCTTTTAAAATCCCAGTTGCTATTTATCCAAGTAGGCTGCAGAACATTGGTCTCTTGAAACTCTTAAAGTCGTAAACTTTCAAGCCCAGTGAGTCAGTCCTTCAAGTAATTTGCATAACTTTGCGCCCTGTATGGTCTATCGCTCTACTATGTACCTGGAAATATTCGCAGCTTATACAAATATGCCAAACCTATTATGCTTGGAAAGGGGGAGGGCCAGTGAAGGAGAGGAGGATGAGATAGATTGACACAAGTGACTACAGCAGTGGGCTCACGTGTGTCAGAAATGATGAGATGGCACCGGACAGGACAGGGTTCAGATCTGTTGTTATAGGGTCACTGTGTGTCATACTCGACTCCATGACACCTAACAACAACCTATGTGCTTGTGGATGTACTCCCCTATGCCATCCCACACTCACAGTCTTAGTACAATTCAGGAATCTGTGTACCCATATGTTAATTATTGTTTATTAGTAGTAGATTAATTGTTCAAAATGGCTTTTGTAGCCACTGGTCTCAACTTTCTCTCTATGAATGGGTGGTACTATGCTATACATGATGTAATTATGTAATATAATGAGCTAACTAACACCTTTGAGATAGGAACATGCAGATATATATATTGACTACTAATGAGGGGATTGATCAGTTTTGCTATCCTGCCAAGCTCAAATTGAGCAGGTTCCCTGGAAGAAAATGGGGATCTTGCTACCAGTAAGAAAGAAGCCGCAAAGAATGTACAGTCTTTCAGGACCAAAGAGATTCCTGTGAGAGATGAAAACAGACAGAGATTGAGACACCATGGTAGCAAGCAGAGGTGGCACAGAACCAGAGGCTAATAGGAGACAGCTGAGCTGGAATTGCGGCCCCGTGGAGCCAGTACCAAAGGCCTTTGCCAAAGTTTGCTGGAGGACTTGGAAGGAGACACAGTGATTGGCAGGACTAAGAGAGCCTGGCAGTCAGCTTCCAAAACCATCAGCCACTGAAGCTCTGCAGGGAGCTCTGGTGATGCAGTCACCAGGGTGTTGCATTGCTAACTCAAAGGCGGCACTCTTCTTGCAGTTCTGATACACTAAGTGGCTCCACAGGAGAAAGATGGGCAGTCTCCTCCCAGGTCGCTGACAGTCTCAGAAACCCAAGGGAGGATCAGTTATGAGTGGTTCAGGCTAGACCAGCAATCAATGAAGGTGTGGGTCCAAAGAGAGCTTTGTAGCGATGGCCTAAAGCCTGGGCCTGAAAAGTCAGAGGACCTACAAGCGCACCTGAGAAGCTGTGCTGACTAAAGAATTGTATCCTACGTCCAACCTGAAATGTCACCTCTTCCTCCCTATGAAATCCTGTAACTGTGAGTGGGCCTCGTCAGAATTGGTTTTGTTCTGTGAATTTTGTGGTTAGGAATTATCCACCTTTGATGAGTACGTGAAGGTCAGAGGGCCACCACCCCACATAGGCCACACTCTTTGCAACTGTCATTATGAAATTGTAAATGTTGGAAACAGGAGTAGTATCCACTTCCTAAACAGCATGCCTCCAGAAACCCTATGAACTTTGATAAATGTCCTGGTTGTAGAGGGGCTTCAGGCCTTTTGTTCATACAGTCACTATGAGTCATGCTTGACTTGAAGGCAGTCAACAACAAACAACAACAATACTATTTATAGTTAGTTGCAGTGTCTGCTGTCAGGGACCTCTCCAAAGTCCTAAAGAGCAAGGATGTCCATTTAAAGAGTAAGGTGTGCCTACTTCAAACTAGTCTTTCCAGTCACCTGCTATGCATCTAAGAACTGAACGAGTAAAGATGACAGGAGAAGAATCAATGCATTTGAGTTGTGGTGTTGGAGAAGAGTGCCAGATAGCCCATGGACCGCTAAAAAAACAAACAAATGTCTTGGAGAAAGTGCAACCAGAATGTTCCTCGGAGGCAAAGATGACAAAGCTTCATCTCAAAAATTTTGGACATATTGTTAGGGGAGTCTATTCCTTGGAAAAGGACTTCATACTTGGCAAGGTGGAGGGTCAGCGAATGAGAGGAAGACCCCAACAAGATAAACTGATACAGTGTCTGTGGCAATAGACTCAAATGTGTAGAGGATGATAAGGATGGCACAGGATAGGACAGGGTTTAGATCTGTTGTTTATAGGCTTGTTAGGAGTCATATAATTTAACAGCAACAACAACAACTGGTGGCTTAGTGATAAAAAAAATTGCACTGTCAATCCAATGGTATGTAGTTGAATCCACCACAGAAGAAAGATAGATAGTCTCCTCCCATGCAGTTTACTGCCTCTGAAAACCTGCTGGAGGATCAGCTATAAGTTGGTTCCCACTTGAGAGTACATACAACAAAAACAATGCTATTTATAGTTGTTGCCTTTTACTCTTTCTTGCTTTTGCCTGTCTTCCTTTGCCTTGGGCATACTTTGTTATCTCCACGTACTCACTGTGTATTGTCTTACCCTTAACCCAAATTAGTACGTGACTACACTCTAGTAAGTATTCCCCTCTGCAACTTCTCATCTCATCTCTGTGGTTCTTAGGTGCCATCAAGTTGATTGCAGCTCAGAGCAATCCTCTGAGCAGCAGATCTGAACCTTGCCCTGCTCTGTCCCCACCCTCTCTGATGGGCTCGAGCTGGTTGTTAACAGCCACTGTGTCAATTATTTTGTTGAGGGTTTGTTTTCCTCTCTTTCTCTGACCTCCACCTTTCCAAGAACTAGTCTTTCCTGACATGTCCAAAGTATGTGAGAAGAAGTTTCACTGTCCTTGCCTTTAAGGAGCACCTGGGTTTTACTTTCTCCAAGACTTGTTTATTTTTTTTGTAGCCCATGGGTTATTCAGTACTCTTCTACACCACAATTCAAAGGCATTGGCTCTCCTTCTGTCATCCTTTGCCAACTTCTGTCATCCTTATCCAATTTTCATGTGCATAGAAAGTTGCTGAAAAGATCATAGCTTAGATCAGGTGCACCTTTGTCCTTAAAATGACATCTGTACTCTGTAGCACTTTGGAGAGGTCTTTGATAGCAGATTTTCCCACTGTAGCACGTCTTTTTCTTTTTCCCCCTCACCACTTAGGAAAAAAAAAATGTTGGTTCGCATACAGTAATTTGTTTATGTTGTGTTTCATTCATGTACATTGTTTTGGTGGAAGTTTTTGCCCCCGTCCCCTCCCTCCACCTACCAATCTCTGCAGGGTCGCAGCACATCTTTTGATTTCTAGACTACTGTTGTTCTGGATGTTGATTGTGGATTCAAGTCAAATTAAGTCATTGACAACTTTAATCTTTTCTCCATCTATTATGGTGTTACCTATTGATCTGATGGTGAGAATTTTTGTTTTCTTGATGTTGAGATGTAATCCATATTGAAGGCTGTAGTCCTTGATTTGCAGCAGATATTTCAAACCCTCTTCACTTCACTTTCAGTAAGCAAGGTTTTGTCATCTACATAAAAGAGATTGCCGGTGAATCTTCTTCCAATTCTGATGCCATATTTTTCTTCATAGAGGCCAGCTTCTCGAATTATTTGCTCAGCATACAGATTGAATAGGAATGGAGAAAGGATACAACCCTGACACACACCTTTCCTGATTTTAAACCAGGCAGCATTTCTTTGTTCTGTCTAGACAACAGCTTCTTAGTCTATGTATAGGTTTCCCGTGAGCATAATTAATGTTCTGGGATTCCTTTCTTCTCAATGTTAGTAATAATTTATTATGATCCACACAGTCAAATGCCTTTGCATAGTCAACAAAACATAAATAAGCCTCTTTCTGTTATTCTCTGCTTTCAGTCAAGATCCATCTGATATCAGCAATGCTAATCCTCATGCCACTTTCACCTCTGACTACAGATTGAATTTCTGCAAGACCCCCAGCATTTTTTTAAAAGAGGTCAGTTTTTAATTGAACATGTTACAAAAGTTTAGTCATTAAGACCAAATCCCATGTCATTATCAGACTCTTCAGAGTCTTCTTTCTTTGCTTCCACTTTCTTCTTAGCCGGAGCAGCTCCATAGGAGGGAGCGGGTCCTCCAGCCAGTGCAGCCTGGGCCACTGGGGCAGGTCCACTAGCATCCACATTGCAGAGGCTTCCAGTGTTGACATTTGCCAGAGAATTTGCAAACAGACCAGGCAAGAAAGGTTTAATGCTGACATCAGCTGTCTTAATGAGGACACTGATTTTATCATCCGTGATGGTCACCTCATCATTGTGCAGGATGAGGACTGAGTAGATGCAGCCGAGCTCAGAGTTGGGGTTGGGGTGCGGTGGTACTAGGCTGATGGCTGTAACGCGTGGTGCTAGTCACCAGATGAAGTGAAGGCCTTACCCCAAGGCGGCCTTAGCTTCCTCAGAGGAACCCAGCACCTCAGCAGCAACTGAGGGAAGGGGCTGTTTTTAAACAATCTTCAGCAAGATGTTACTTTCTTTTTTTTTTCCCCATCAGAGTTTTAGGACTTTAATTTGTCCCCCAAAGTCACTGAAGCAAAATTCAGAATAAAACATTCTGCTTTCCTTTACACCTGCCAACGCAAAAACTATTTGTAGGAAAAATGGTTTTGTACATGGGATGAAACTTAATATAAATTCAAAACTTACAGATAAGGGTTAGCTCTATCACTCATCTCTTAAAAAGTTTATATGAATATCCAGTCAAAACCAAGAGGGCATTTCCCTTGAAATGTTATCTGAAGAGATTTCCAAGCCGACCAGAGCTGTCTACTGTTGTGGAATGTCCTCAGAAGGCTCTGCCATGACCTCAGAGTCCTTTCTTTCAAGTGGAAGAGGGAAAGAGGGAACTATTCAAAACTTCATCTTCTTTCCTTGTGGTTTGTGGTCACCGCCGCCTCCCCTGCCTCCTCGGAAGCCACCTCGGCCTCCACCAAAGCCGCCACGGCCCCGGCCTCCGAATCCGCCTCGGCCTCCACCTCTGCCGTAGCCACCTCTGCCACCAAAGCCGCCCCAGCCTCCACCTCTTCCGCCAAAGCCACCTTCACCCTTAGGCTTGGCCCAGTCCAAGGTCACTTTGTTTCCATCAATTTCACCATCTTCCATGGCCTCCTTGGCAGCTTTCGCGTCCTCCTCACTGTTGAAGTCTACAAAACCAAACCCTTTTGAGGAACCAGTTTCCCGGTCGGTAACTATTCTGGCACGAATTGAACCGTCAAATGACTCTTTCAAGGTCTCTTCGGTGGTCTCTTCAGACAGACCTTTGACAAAGAGGGTTTTGGTTGGCTGGCCCCGAGCGTTAGGCAATCCCTTGGATCCCTGCAACTCCAACCTGATTGCTCTGCCCTCAATTTCTCTTTTATTGCAAGAATTTAAAGCTTCTTTAGCATCTTCAAATGAAGCAAATTCTATAAATGCATACCCTTTAGATTTGCCATTCTGGTTCTGTGGCACCTTGATAGCAGCTGCCTTCTCAAATACCTCCTGAAGAGTCTCTTCTGTTGCGTTATAGGACAGATTGCTTAAAACTAGAGTTTTTGATTCACCACTCCAAGTGCTCGCCTTTCCATCTCTATGGTCCTGGTTTTGACCTTTCTCCCCAGTGTAGTACAGGGATATCAACCGTCCATCAATCTCTGTTCCCTGTTTTTCCTCAAAGGTTTTCTCAGCATCAGTTTCAATTCAATATAAGCAATTCCTTTACTCTTCCCATCTTTGCTGACTAATCTGATTTCCATAGCATCTTCAAACACTTCTTTTAATTCTTCCTGAGTGACTTTGTAAGGCAAATTTTTGGCCAAAAGTGTTCTGGCATCTCGATCTTTCTTACTGTCTTTTCCCTTCAGTCTCTCTGGTTTAATTTCATTGCCAAAGACTTTTAAGCCAGTGAGTTCCAAGGCTCTTTCCAGGTCCTCAGCAGATTCAAAATCCACATAGCCAAACTTCCTAGTCATACAGATTCTGACATCTGTAACAGTAAGATCATTTTTAGCAAAAACGTCACTGAGACCAGTTTTTAATTCAGGGGCAGATTTGTTGCAGTTCAGGTTTCCAACAAAGAGATTGAAAGTTGAAGTTGGTTCAACAGCTTCTACTTTCTGTTTCTTGGCTTCAGGAGCAGCTTTCTGCTTGGTCATGTCCTTTTTTCGCTTTCCAGATACTTCTTTGACAGGTTCTTCTTCCTCTTCCTCCTCCTCCTCTTCGTCATCTTCCTCCTCCTCCTCATCTTCCTCGTCATCATCGTCATCTTCGTCGTCGTCATCCTCCTCCTCATCATCTTCATCCTCAGTCACCATCTTTGTTTTTGCGAGAGGCACTTTGGCAGCTTTCTTTCCTTTTGCTGGTGTCGTCTCCATAGCCTCCTCTTCAGAGTCATCTTCTTCATCCTCATCCTCGTCTTCGTCATCATCTTCATCGTCCTCATCCTCTGAG